AGTTATACTAAAGCACTCCTTCAATTCTCATGGATATATAAAAACAGGTTTGTTTGAATAAGATAAAAGGAAAGCTGGAAATGTAAGACATGTAATTGTACATCTTGGAAGTGTAACGAACTATATCTGCTGAGAGCATAAGTAAAACCATCACAAAAGCAGTGACCACATGACAAGCTCACTTTAGGGCTAACAACCACTCAAACTACAAGACAGCAAGGAATTATGCACAAAGATAATACAGTTAGCACAGTTGCCAGTGTTTTAGTTTTATGTACCATGTTAGAGCTATATTAGTCATCACCATAACTTTAGTGTAATAAAAGTCTTAAAAGAACACGAATAAAAGTACAGATAAGATCAGTACTTCTTCCTATAATTAAGGTACTCCGCAATTTTTTCTACGTAGTAGATAATTTTATCTATGTTTTCCAGCTGAAAACTGACCTATGAGAATTTAAACAATCTTTTCAGAATGATACACTACTTTAAGTCTCAACAGAAGCTCTTTCGAAAGAGAAGACAAAGATTTAACTTCTTATAAAAGTTTTTCAGTAATTCTACCAACTCTTGAGTAAGAACCTGAAATTCAGTCTGCTCTGGTTTCCGACTACTTTGGTCTATACACATTAATTACAGATGGGGAAGCCTGCTGCTATGGAAAGGGAGAGGTCTTTTACTCTTCCCTCTTAGTCTCAAAAACCCTTCCCTTATTCTAGCCCCACAGTCCCAATGCATTTTAATTGTTTATCTTACACTGGTTTTAGCAGTTATCTGCTTGCACGGTAAGCCAGTTCAACTGGCTAAAACAGCAAAAGACTTACCCCAAAAAATTTTAAAGAGCAGTTCTTAGTAGCACAGCAAGTTGTCCTCATTTCAGCTGGGATAGTTAATTTTCTTCCTAGTAGCTGCTACAGTGCTGTGTTTTTCATTAAGTAAGAGCATAATGTTGATAACACACTTATGTTTTAGTTGTGGCTAAGTAGTGCTTACCCTAGTCAAGGACGTTTCAGTTTCCCATGCTTTGACAGCGAGAAAGTGCACAAGAAGCCAGGAAAAGCTGACCTGCACTGGCTAAAGGGCTGTTCCATATCACAGAACATCCTGCTCAGTATATAAACTGGGGGGAGTTGACCAAGAGCCACTGCTCCCTGCTCAGGGACAGGTTGGGCATCGGTTAGTGGGTGGTCAGCAACTGTACTGTGCATCACTTATTTCTCTTGGGTTTTATTCCTCTCCCTCTCTGTCTTTCACTTTTTCATTAAAGTAATTATTGTTATTATTACGGATATTATTATAATTAGTATTATTAGTATATTTTATTTTGTTTCAATTATTAAACTCTACTTATTTCAACCCACAAGTTTTTACTTTTTATCCCCCGATTCTCCTCATCCCACCAAGGGCACCGGGGAGCGAGACAGCAGCTGCAAAGTTCTTAGATGCCAGCTGGGGTTAAACCACAACACGAGCTGTCTTACTGTGTAATCAAGAGCTGAAGAGCAAAAGGAAGATGAGTGCCCTCAAGAACAAGACCTCTCCCTTTCAATAAGAAGTCATCTATTTTCTCACCAACAGAAGAGCTTTTCGTCCCTATGAAAATTCACTCAAGTTTAGACAAACCAAGAAATTCTGGAGGAAAGGAAAAAAAAAAGAAGATGGAATTGTTCACCTCTGTGTGTAGCTCAGATCTGTATTTTACCAATATACCTTAGCTGTTCTTGTGCAAGTCAGGAAGCAGCTCTGTGAGAGGCAGGCAGCTGTGAGCTCTTAGGTTGACTCACTAAGTGAAGACACACCTTACGGCTCCTCTTCCCCCCCCCCTTAGCCATGCAGACCTGCAGCTCACCTCTGGGTAGTGCACGCTTGGCGTAATTCTGTGAGCCACGTCAACTTCCTAACACTGCAAAAAGCTGGACTGGCAAAAAGTCGGATAGTTTCCTGCCATGTTAATAAGCTCAAAAAAGGATATAACAAGTAACACAGCTGGGTCAGCGCAGAGGGCAGGAACACATTGCCCAGGGGAAGACAGGAGTGAAATCTCTCACTCCCAGCAGCAGGGAATTAGACTGCCTCAGCTGGTCACAGAACCATGGTCTCAGATTAGCTGTTTTTCATTGGAGAGGATTTACCTGAATGCTCCAATTTTTCATAAGAAGTATATGCATTCCTGCAGATCAGCATCTTTGATAATTTCCCATACAACAGCAAGTATCCTTTGAAGCCATCAGTATATTTTTAAACTGAGTAAGGATTCTCAATCTTCAGGCAAGAATTACTATTTCAGCCTGCACAGATCACATTCCATTTCTGATGATATTCCAACCAAAACCATGAAAAGTAGCCAAATTGAGCTTGCCCAAGCAGATTAGCAGGCAACTTGAAAAAAGGGAGAAAAGTCATGAGTCTCATCACTCTTGTGCTGCTACCTACAAGCTCCATTAACAGCATCCCATCTCTTCTCACCAACACAGGACAGGAGATCCACAGGGATCATGACAGCTAAAGAGTATCATTTAGAGATCTGGTATGTGGATTTAAGTCCTCAAGGCAGAGAAAAATTCACTACTATTACTGGCATTGCAATCAACAGTGACAACTGCAAGAACTCCGTGAGAACACGTAAAAAAAGACGGCTGTCCAGGAAAGCTCAGTTTTATTCACTTATGTAAATATTATGATACAGCAATTATGTGACCATTTATTGTTTCTCCTCACCAGACTACATCCCGTTGCACACTACATGGAGAGAACCATATGTGAGGAGTGACTTAGACTTCTCCATATGCCCGTGTTTCACTTAGTATGTAAATTGATAAGAGGTGGCCAATATTTGCAATATTACACCTGTTGGGGTGCTCAGTTGCCCATTGATGGCACATTTACATTACTCAAGTACTTCACGTCACATTTATTAAATGATAAATTCTCGGGAGGAGACAAACATTTTGTACACATTATATGAGGAATAACAATGCAGAGACATCCGAGAAAGGTTACCCCATATGTGACTCAGGTTGGTTACAAAAGACAGTAGGCACCCTGGTTCACCTGACTTAAAAAAATAAATCTTTCTTCTACAAGCTTAAAACAGGAATAATCCAAACATAGCAATGTTTTGCATGGATGTTGTGAAAAAATACAAACTGCAGCTTGAAAGTCTTAGCCTGTATTTGAAGAAAAAACATTCCTTAAGAGGGTACTACAGCACCATAATAGTCACCCAGGGAGGAGATGGATGCTCCACGCTTGGATGTTTCCAAGGCTGGCTTAAACAAAGGTAGAGCTGAGCAGACCTAGTGTTTCCAACAGTTGTGCTTCAAGCATGAGGCTGCAATATGTGACCTCCTGAGGTCTCACCATTTCTGTGGTCCTATAAAAGAATGTCCACAGAATGCTTTACTACTACAACCAAAGCACATTACATGTTTGGCTTATTACCTAATCTGTTGATTCAGGATAGCAAATGGATAAAGTCAGCACAATTACCAAAAGCATACAGTTTAAACAGGCTCGTATTCTGGAGAATCACAGACCAGTGTTTCATGTATTGCAGGAGCTGAGAGCTCAGAAAGTGCAAGACAGCCACTTTCCACAGCAGTAAGAGCATGGATCATTAAATTGATTGGTCTTGAACTTTCTCATTGAAGTATTAAAGAACAGTCTGGTGTAATCTCCATCACAGCAGCAGCAAAAAACTTCAAAAGGTGCCCCAAAGAAGCAAAGACTATTTTAAGTACAGACCCCCCACCCACCAACATCCACCAAAGAAGTAATTTGGTTATGTGAACTTTGCTTCTCACTTCTGCAGGCATAAAACCAAGTTTAAGCTTCACTTCAGACTCTGGGGCCTAGAAGCCCCTACAGTTCAGGTTCTGGCCACCCTGAAGACAGAGCAAAGGAAAGCGTCACTGGATGCTTACTCTAGTTTGCCAGCTGCTCGCAGCCACCAGCTGCTCGCTCCTGCCAAGAATCACACACCCCCCGACACGACCTTCCTTACTTGCTGCAGCTTTCCTACAAGGATTTGAAAGGGCCCGAGAGATGAAGCCGGGGCTTCCTACTTCCCCAACGTGGCCGTAACTCACGGGGTGAGCCGACAGTTCTCTCCGTCCCTCGGAGGGACCGCAGGCACTTCCCAGCAGGGCCAGAGCTGAGCCAGGAGTCAGGACAGCAGCTCTACCACTCCCCTGGGTCCTCTGTCTCATGAATTTCCTTTTCAATGAGCAATGGCCATAAACTAAAACACAAGAAGTTCCATCCCAACATGAGGAAGAACTGCTTTACATTGACGATGGCAGAGCACTGGAACAGACTGCCCAGGGGGGTCGTGAAGTCTCCCTCTCTGGAGACATTCCAAGCCCATCTGGACATGTTCCTATGTCACCTGCTCTAGGTGACCCTACCTTGGCGGAGGGGTTGGGTGATCTCCAGAGATCTCTCCCCACCCTAACTATCCTGTGAGCACAGCGGGAACTGACCACGCTCCGAGCCCCCGCAGCCCTGGCGCCGTCGGGAGCCCCGGTGCGGCATCGCGGAGCGGCTTCGAACGCTCCGGGCAAAACCCACCACGCAGCCCCCCCGCAGGGGAACAACACCGGGACCGCGCCGCATCCCGGGCGGCCCCAGGGGCCTCCGCTCGGCGCCCCCGGGCTCACCTTGCACTCGGGCTTCTCCTTGCCGGCCTCGCAGAAGTTGACGGGCGCCAGGCCCGGCAGGTAGAAGGCGGCGGCGGGCGCGGCGGCGGCCGCCAGCAGGGCGGCCGTGAGGAGGAGCGGCGGCAGGGCCATGGCGGGCCGGGCCCGGCGGTGGCTGGGCGGCAGCGGGGCCGCGCCTCCGTCTCTCCCCCCGCGCGCGCCCGCCCTGACGCGGCCGCGCCGCTTCCGGCTTCCCCCTCGCGCGCGCGCGAGACACGTCGTCACCCTCAGCGCGCGGGGCCGCCCGACGGAGCGGGGGGGGGGCGGGGCCGGCGCGCACCGTCCCTTCCGGGGTGTGGCGGCCCCTGTTGCCATGGCAGCGCTGCGCCGTCCCGCCGGGAGCGCCCCGGGAGCAGGGTTACCGGGGATGTATTAGCAACAGCATGCCAGCAGGCCGAGGGAGCTGATCCTGCCCCCTCTGCTCAGCCCTGGTGAGGCCACATCTGGAGTGCAGTTTCCAGCTCTGGTCTCCTCAGTGCAAGAGAGACGTGGAGCCCCTGGAGCGGGTCCAATGGAGGGCAACAAAGATGATGAGGGGACTGGAGCATCTCTTTTACAGGGATAGGCTGAGAAACCAGGGCCTGTTCAGCCTTGAGAAGAGACGACTGAGAGGGGACCTCACACTAACTATAAGTGTCTGAAGGGAGGGTGCCAAGAGGACGCATCCAGGGTCTTCTCGGTGGTGTCAAGCAATAGCACAAGAGGCAATGGGCAGAAACTGATACACAGGAAGTTCCACTTGAATATGAGGAAGAACATCTTTACTATGTGGGTGACCGAACACTGGAACAGATGCCCAGAGAGGTTGTGAAGTCTCCCCCACTGGAGATACTCAGGAACCCTCTGGATGCAATCCTGTGCCATGTGCTCTGGGGTGCCCCTGCTTGAGCAGGGAGGTTGGCCCAGGTGATCTACTGAGGTCTCTTCCAGCCTCACCTGTTCAGTGTTTCTGTGAATGTCCACAGGAGCAGCATTCAGCAGCTGTTTGGGACTCCCCGCCTGGGCGGTCCCAGAAAGGCCCGGGCCCACCGATCCCGGTCAGGCTGCACTGGCTTTGTGCCTGTCCAGCGATCCTTGATCTTTCTAAAATAAATTTTGTCGTTTTTTAAATAAATTTTGTCTGGGGTTTTTTTGTGGTTTTTTTTTTTTTTTTTAATTCTCAAGGGTTTCACTGGGAGGAGGGATCTGCTGCACCCAGCCACTCATGCCAACACCCTTGAGTTCCCTACGGTTTGCAATCCAAGAGTTTCTAAGTGTGAAAGGGGTTATTTGAATATAAAGTTAATTTCACAGCACTGAAATAAAACACAAACTTCCTCAGCAGAATGTGATTGGAGTCTGAAAAGGGGAGGGGTAAGGAGGTTTATTTTTTACAAAAATATGAAAACCTTCATGCAAAATGTAAACCAATCTCTTTCAAATAGATAATCCAGTCTCTATTATTCACTCCTCTTCCCATAGGCCCTTGGGGGGAAATGATGACTGACACAGCTAGGCAGGGAGCAATTGCCCCTGAAGGCTGGGTAGTCAAGGAGGCAGGGTGGTCTCCAAACCCAGGCGGTGTGTGGCCATAGCACATTATTGCCCACAACAGACTTGGAGCGAACAACATCCCTGTCTTTTTTTTTAATTCGCAAGGGTTTTGCTATGGACAACTCTGCATTGTTTTCAAACTGAGCTCTCAGGTGAGACTGGCTGAGTGGAGCTGGGGAGAAAACAGACAGACAGATAGGTGTTGTCTGTGGTTGACTCCCATTGCAGCCGAATGTTCAGAACAACCCGAGTCCATGTTACCTCCATTTCACCAATGGCTGCCATCCTGTGGCACAATCTACTGAAAAAAATCCCCCCCCCAAAAAAAAAAAACCAACAAAAAAAACCCTACAGAAGAGGCAGACATAAAAAGTCTGTTTTGATAAGGTAGAAAAGGACATTGCTCAGATTCTCATTTCACCTTTCCCCGCTTCCTAATATTTTCCATCAGTTTGAGTTTGTGCAGCTTCAGAAACACCCTCTCACAAAAAACTATATTTATAAATGTTGCAGCATTTCCACTAATTTCCTTGATTCTCAGAACATGTTTTATTTCCTTTCTTCTATTTATTACAGGGTTGGGGGAACACACCTGTTGCTCACACAATCCTATACATAGCCAGAGTCTTTAGGCAGCTAAGGTGTTGCCTAAGGTCTGCGTCCTGCAACACAATATTCCAGTGCCTGAGAAAGCAGGAAGAGAGATACCAGGCTATGGTGGCCAACCTGTCTACGGCAGGGTGAAGCTTCAGGTGGGTCAGTTCATACAGCATCTGACCAGATAAAGGGTTGAGCATCTAAACACCTAGGCCACATAATGTAGTCTTTAGGTGAGATAATTGTAATAAATTTTCATATAGTTTCTACATTACACAAGCCATTCTTCAAGTTTGAGATGAATGCATGTTAATTTATAGTATATACATTAGATATTTTTGAACTCTCCATATATTTAAAATTTAAGTTGTTTGTCTACCTTTCTCATTCCAATTCCTACTTGTCTCATCCTGTAGATATCCTAAGAGCACAATTATAAGATCAAGCCTTATGACAAGCACAGCTGGAGAAGAAATCCCAGTTCCCTCTTTTTATTTAAAATTACTCATGGTTAGGATAATCAGGTTGTAAATGACCCAAGTTCAGTTTCTTTTCTGCCACAAGGGAGTTCAAACATATCTCCCATTTCCCAGGTTAATATTCCAAGCAAATTACTTTTGTGGGCCTAATTCCATTCCTTTGCATGGGAGAATATTTAAAAGCATTTGCCCATTTAATCCTCTTCTTCCTTGAGAACACTCCAAAAGCTGCACAATGGGTAGGAGTTGTGGTGTATTTTGTGATCTGCTTAAATCTCTTCTTTTACTATGCCTTTGTGACTGCAAAACCTGATGACTCACATCCATTTTAAGGGATGCTCTGCCACTTGGTCCAAACAGCATTTCAGTGGATGTGGTGCCATATGCTATGATGCTCCCTCCTCTCTACTCTGCAAAGGTGATGTGGAAAAACCGTTTGTAGGCTGTGTTATTTTGGAGCAACTATACCCATGGGTTATAATCCCAGGAATGGCCATGGTCCTTGAGATCTAACTTGAGGCTGGGCAAAACCCATCTTCTCTAATTTAATGAGAACTTCAATGGTACTTTGCTTGATAATTTCTCTTCTTAAATTCCTCTGCTACTGGTTTTATAACCGTAGGTTACAGTTCAGGGTGTGTGGTTTTAGTACCAGAAAAACAAGTATCACAGGTTTTTATCATCTGAAATTCCAAGGTTATGGGAGACTGTGAAATAAAACACACAAAAAAATATTTTTTCAGACGCTAATGAACCAACAGAAGCCAAAGCAAAAGAACAGCCTGTGTTTTTTCCTGATAAATTCTTGTGATAAGAAAATATGAAGATAAGAATATAGAGTGGCCAGAAACTGCTGGGAAAGTGTCACTCTTGAAAAGTTTTACCCTTCTTTTTATCAGAAACTGTTGTGAACAACTTTTGCTATTCTTGCGGTGGTTCCACCTTTTGCTGCTCATATCTGGTCTCCAAGGGGTGCCACCTTCGTTTGAGGATTTACAGCTCCCACGGTTCAGTTCTTCATTTCAAAGTCTTAAAAGTCCCTTGTATCCTACAGCTCAGGGGCTAATGCCTTCTCCTAGCATACTCCCTCCTCTGCCTGAAGGCACTGTAACCCACTTTTCTCACTGTAGCACCTTGGCAGGCAAGCTGTGGGGCTGTTCCATTTGCTGTGGAACAGATCAATAATCCTTGCTGTGGCAGCTGCAAGCACACAGTTGTTTCCTCCACTACAGGTTTTACAGGCACAGGTTACAATTCAGTTACAATTTTAGTACCAGAAGAGCAAAATAATACTCTGCTGCATAATGTTTAGGGTGCTAACTGGATACAGCTAACATCCGCTTTACTTTGCTGCTAACTGTCATTTCAACTTTTTTTTCCTTTTAATTTTAATATAAACTATTTGTTTGCAGCCTCGAACAGGAATGTCCCCTAGCAACTAAAATTCAGAGTTCTGTAAATAAATTTTGTCTTTTTCTCTCCTGAGACAACTGGCAATAATAATGACAAATTTCATATTTGTCTTTCATATTTGTGTGGAAATCCCCTGCTGTTAAGTAGCCCCTACACTGGTAGACTGGCCATTTTTCTATAAAATGAGAAGTAAGGATGAAGACTTAATCAGCTGGAGGTGGAAGCTGAATTAAAGTCCCCAATGGCAGTGCTAACAATCATTGATCATAATAATTTCTGTTCCTCCCCCAGCAGGAGTATCAAGTGTGTCAAAGGATTATGGTTTGTGAAGACTCATTCTGCTTTGGCCTGAGGAGATTTGGACAATAACGTCCTGCTAAGCATAAGGTACTTCTGCAAGTGATTGAACAACAATCTTTAGGGAGCTTTGAGCCTGAAAACAGAGGGGTCTGCATTCCTCCTCAGTGGGATGACAGCAGAGCACAGTTACAGGAGAGCTATGGTTCTGCGTCTAAAGTGAAAGTTGAGCACATTGAGCACCCTAGTCCTTTGTGGATCCAAAGCTTCCTGGCAATAGAAACTTGTGATTGACCAGGTTACATGGGGGAGTGGAGGCATCGTATCATCAGCCCACACAGATGGATGGCAGCATCATCTGTGAGGTACCAGAGCAGAGGTCCTGCTGGTTTGCCTCTTTCCAAAGGCACAGTCCTCCAGTGGGTAGGTGTTGGCCTCCTGCAGCTCAGGACTGCAACCTGTGAATAGCCTGCAGGGCTTGGTGGCATGTGAGGTGTGCTTCTCCTTCAGGTCAGAGTAGAACTACAGTGTTTCAGGAAAAGCATATATTCTAGTGCAGCAGCCAGTTCACTACCTAAGTAAACAGTGCAGCGTTCAGAGTAGTCACAGGGTGTGTAGAAACTCATCCGGTTGTACCATTGCTGACTTTGTTTGGCTTTTGTGACCTGCAAGTCTGGTTTTGTGCCTTTTTTTTTTTTTAATCTTTGTTCAGGTTTTAGATCCAGCACTTCCTGTGACTTTATGACCAACTTCAAATTAATGTTTAACATAACTTCTTTCAGGCTTTTGGTATGCTATAGAGGCCTATGTCCTTTTCTGCCCCTGTTTCTTAGGGCACTAGAAATATGCAACTGTCCAATACCTGACTTGCCAAATTAAAAAGAGGAACTTACTGAATAAAATAGGCAAAGAAGAGCTCTGTCAGGTAAAAGCAGCTAATGAATTACATCTTAAAGGAAAACACTGAGACTATCACCATATATTTAAGGCTAAATTAAGCTCAACTGACTCTTTTGCCCGAGCAATGGGGCAGAGCCTTTGGAGAAATGAGCGTGCTGTGAGGGACATGGCTATGCCTTGCAGCAAACACTAACCAGACTCCTCCACGAGGGAGAAGGGGCACCTGGCACCAGCTAGTGAGGTCTGAGCATTAAGGGCCTTGGGAGCAGCTGCATTTATGAGTCTCTCCAGCAGTTGCTATAGGTAAGGTTTCTGTGAGATCCCTGGTGGGTTTTAAACCAGCATAAAAGGAAGTGTGGGAAGATTGCTGCCTCCCTGGCCCACATCTCCCATGTTTGGAGTGGGTCTGGTTCAGGCTGCACCAATTGAAGTGTTCAGCCCTCAGAGTGTAAGAATATAAATGTTTTTAACATCAGTACCAATTATAGAGATTGCAAAGAAACAAACCTTTACACAGAAGTATGTTTGTGGATAAAACAAAGAGGAATGCTTCTTTTTATAGCTCTATGAGCCCCAAATCAGTTGAGCTGGTTACCTGTTCAGCAATGTCCATGGTCAGTAATTAATGATTCCACTGCAAGCTAAAATATCCAAGCTTGTTGAAGTTTTCAAGCTTAAATATAACTCATGGTGGTCACTGTTTCTATCGACCGCGAAAAGAAGAATATGTTGTGGGTTTTTTTCCTTCAAGAAGAGACTGATTGGGATCTTTGACAAGAGTTAAACTAGATTTTTTTGGGAAAAAATAGTTTAAAAAAAAATGTGATCATCTGCTTCTAGCCCATACTTGTGAACACACAGAGACACACATACACACAGACACATTTGGTTATTA